TGCTTCCCATCAATTGGAAGTCCTTTCAACCACTTGTAGCTTAGTCTGCACCTAGGACACATCCTCTACATTACAGCTGCTTCTAAGGAATCGTCATCTAGTGCTTCTTCCTTAGAGTCTTCCCTCTGGTGTAAGAAACCTTGTCTAATAGCTGGTAGATTTTCAGTGTCTTTCTTGATAGTTGTTTGGTTGGCCACATGCATCTGCACATTGACTTCTTCCAATTCTTTCAAAGACAGGTTCTGAAAATCCGACATAATGACATTGGCAGCCACCTCTCCAATTTCTGGAAATGGATTACTGTCGATCCCCGTGGCTTTTTCAGCTTTGGCTGGGAATTTCAAACTTCCTTTCCGAATTTGTTCTTAGATCCTGTCTCGAAAAACAAGACAGTTTTTAGTCGAGTGAGACCAAGAATTATGCCATTTACAATATACTTTTCCTTTAAGTTCATCAAGAGATGGAATTTTAACCCCTTTTGGTAACTTAAGGAAGTTGGCTGCAAGCAAATGATAAAAAATGTCATCTACCTTAGTTAAATCGAAAGAGTATTTCCTGTGAAGGTCTTTCTTTTTAAACTGCTGGTCAATTGTTGTATCCTTATGAATTAATGCTTCACAGATCACAGGTTCTTTCCCCACAATCTCTGCTACATCAATCTCATAGTTAGGATCTTTGTAGTATGTCTTGTATGATGTATTATTTCGATCTTGTTCCTCTTCTAGTAATGCTTCATACCTAGATACCTTATAAGTCAGTTCCACTAAGTCCCTGAACTCTGTTGAGTCAAACTTCTTTCGAAGCCTAAAATCTAAGCCATTTTGAGTCAATCTTACGAATTCTGGCTCTGGCAAGATGACTCTACATTTATTTCGAGCCCTTTTAAATCTGGCAATAAACTGAGTAGCCTTCTCTTCAGGCCTTTGACTCACTCTTGCCAGGTCTGCCATAGAAACCTCTGGCTCCGATTGGAAGAATTGGGCATGAAATGCCTCTTCCATTTGTTGCCAAATTTGGATTGAGCCAGGTGTAAGGTTAATGTACCATACAAATGCTCCTCCAGTTAGAGAGTTTGGGAACAGTCTCAGCTTCATATAGTCATTATTAGTGAATTCTCCGCATTGAGCAGCAAACCTAGCAATATGCTCTACTGTTGATTGGTTTCCATTCCCATAAAAAATGGCGAAATCTGGTATCCTAAAACCTCTTGGGTATTCATGTACCCTATCTACCCATTCTGGGTATGGTTTTCTGTACACAAGAGTCTGGACCCCCCGAGCCATCGGTCCATACATCTACCTAACGACACATCTTCTTAACGATGTCAGCAATTTGGTCCCTAGGGACTATATTTTGTGCTTGTTGAACCACTACTGGAGGGGCAAACACAGGATTTGGTGGGTAAACTTGTGCCTGTGGTCCTCTTGGTCCATAAGGTGGTATATTTGGGACTGGTTGTCCCTGCGGTGCAGGTTGCTATTGAGGGTGTGGGTAACCCCTTTGAGCCTGTCCTGCGAAAGGACCTGCAAAAGGTGCTGGAACTGGTGTTGTGTCTCTTCCATTTGTAGGAAAACCTTCCAACCCCCCGGGTATAAATTCGAATAAGGGATTAGTGAAACCTCTTGTGCCAGGTATGGCTTTGAACATGGGATTTGGAACCATTCTTGTGCCATTTTCTTGTATTGGACCAGATCCACCAAATTGCATGGCTTCACTGTTAAGTACTGAGGCATTTTGACCTGCTATAGGCCTCGGAATAGGTTCGTACCAAGATTGAGGTGATGGTCTTTCACAGTTCTGATTACTAGTTTGACCATTAGAATGTCCATTAACTTGCATAGGCTGTTTATCTCTAGCCAATCTTTGTTGAGAGACATTTGAAACTTCCTCCATGTGTCTTACATTTGTTAATTAGTGGTTATTCATCCGATCCAAAAAGGACGTTGCCCACCTTTCCATTGTGTTCATTAATTGCTGTCACATTGCATCTATTAAGCCACCCCATGGATTTATTGGCTGAGTAGATGGGACAATGGATGGTCCAATTCCTTGGTCTCGTCCAACATTACGAACATGTGGTACTTGTTCTGAAGTACTGGTCTGTTCGACCATAGGTTCTGATAAAATAGGGATTTTCACAGGATGTGTTATCACATTATCCTCTAGATTAGGTATCTCTACCTTTCCTTCTATGCCTTCTTCCAGGCATTCATTTTCTCTTTGTCTCCTACGTCTAGCCATTTCAATTGGTCCCATTGGGCGTGCCAAAAATATATGTTGGCTTTTTGGCTTTCGAAGGTTACTATTGTAATTGCGAGCGTGCCAGCAAGGATCAATCAGTCCTTACAGAAATTTAATTGCCAACGAATTATCAGACGATTGTGTTTTAGTTTTCTCAGCCTCAATGAAGAGGACTTTTATTGATGGCTTGATTTAGGAGAATTAAGCAAAATATCAATCAAATAAAGAACAACTGAAGCATTTCATTAGAATGAAACACTTACAATGATTCAAACTTAGTCTCGTAGAGGTTTACAGCGACAATCTACTTGAAACTACTCCTATAAATGAAGTGCAGTGCAGAATTTAAAGTACTGGAATGTAAAGAACAGAAAATGTAAAACTAAGTAAAGTAGAATAAGACTGATTTTTTTGATCTGAGTCTAGGGACTTTTTCTAGGGCCTTCTCTGCTATTTATATTGCTCGAGGATGACCATCGAATTGCATTTCCAACCGTCGAACTGCTCCTCCATTATCGCTGATCATGTTGCCCCAATATGAGCTGCATTACGCCATTACTCGTAGTTAAGCTTCCCTCATAAATTTGAATTTGAAATGCGAGTAACCATTGAAGCCACATCACTTTACATCTCTTTATTGATCCACTGCTACTCAGATCTCGTAATAACCAATACTAACTGTCACGTGTATGATCAGGATCGAAGACTTGAATAGTCTTCCTATATCACCCTTATTTTGCCACGCGTCAAATTGTAATTGACTTGTACAAAATATGTAGCCAACAATTTCTCATCATTCCTTAACTTATGTAGCTCATCTTTAGCCCTCCTTTGCCATCCTAACTCCTATGCCCTCATTGCAAACCAAACCTCATTGAAATTATTATAAAAATCGTGATCTTACAATCCCAATCTTTTTGTCTCATATAACCTCGCACACGTTTGTTCTCATTATAGTTGTGATCTTTTCTCTCTTATCTCCTTTACATTTATGGCAACACGGAAAGGCAATACAAGAGAAAATCTAAGGATAGCTGAGGGTTGGAGGTGGTGATAGTAAAAGGCATTGAGAGTAAAAAATGAGTGGAAGATGGTTGAATAGGGCTGATAGAGGAGCTGGAAAGGATGAGGACTAGCAAATGTGGAATTCGTTACTGTTAAGAATGAGTGAGAGAGAGATGAAACATAGAAATGATTATAACAAAAAATGAAGGGTAAATTACATTAACACCCCTGAAGTTTATGTGTATTACAGTTCTCCCTCACATTTGAAAAATTGCACTGACCCCCTTTGTCAGTGTAATTATTTGACGGTGTTAACTTTTAAGTTAAAATAACATATTTACTCTTAACCTTTACATATACTTTAAAGGGTAAATTACATTGACACCCTTTGAGGTTTCAATTTAATATGGATTCCCCTCTGACATTTAAAAAAAAAAATTATTTAATAAAAATAAATATGAAGAAATATATTTAATTTGTAAAAAATTATTTCTAACTACTCGAAAGATAAAAATTATATAAAAATGAAAATTATTTTTATTTTTTATTTTTTATTTCTTAACCAAATTAATTTTTAATTTTTAAAAAAAATCAAAAAATCAAACCATACATAGCCTAAGAATCTTTTGATAATTCATTTCTTACGTTGGTAACTTATTTAATTATTTGTTAATTTTATGAAATTTTTACCATCTGATGCCTGTTTGGTAACCATTTCATTTTCAATTTTCAATTTATATTTACAAAAAATTTAAAAACTGTCATAAAAACTTGTTTGATAATTTTTTTGGTTTATAAATGATTGTCTCAGTTTGTAAATTTGAAGAAAAAACGTAAATTCAAAAAATGAGTTTACGTTGGTTTTTAAACAAAAATTTAAAAATTTGACTAACAAAAATATTTTCCAATTAATTTTTTTTTCCGACTAATACTAACCGATGGGGCAATTGCTAATGCTACTTTAAACCTTAGGGAGGGGATTGTAATTTTTAAAATGTGAGGGGTGTTAATATAATTTACCCAGTGATGGCAAAATTGGTATTTAAAAAAATTAAATTGCTGACATCAGCAAAATCTGTTAGTTGACTTAACAGTCAACTAATTGAGGGAACAATCTGTAATAAAACTTTAAACCTCGGAGAAGAGATCTAATTTCCAAAATGTGAGAGGGAATTATAATAAACATAAACCTCATAGGGTGTCAATGTAATTTAGCCAAAATGAAATAGCAATAATGAAATTTTGACCATATTTTTGCAATTATTTTTTAAGTTTCCATATAAAATGCAATTATTTTAAATTCTTAATTTTATTTTTCTTTAGCAATTATTTACTTTCTTTCAATTTTTTTGCTAAATCAAAATATGAAGCCAACTTATAAAAAATGGGTAAACTACAAAAACTTCATCTTAAGTTTAAAAAAATATATAATAAACTTCACAAGTTTGCCTTAATTATACTATTTTTTTTTTTGAAAAATGCTTCCTACCCCCACTGGGGGTCGACCCCCAGTGAGATGTCGCTCCGAGATTGGTCTGGAAAAAATTTTTTTTTTTTTTTTTTTTTTTTTTCAGCCAGTGGGGGCGCGCCATGTCACTGGGGGCGCGACCCCCACTGGGGGTATGCAGCGCTGTTGTTTTTTTTTATTGCAAGAGAAATTAGTGTAATGTATTCTTAAAAAAGTGGGTGTAAATAACAATTCCTATACTTCATGGAGGCAAATTGCAATTTCCTTTAGTTAATTGTTCACATTGATAAAGAAACCATCGGAGGTATAGGGCGTTCCGTATACTCAGTCGGGCTTCTCTGCCACTTCATCCTCTCTCCCGGCGACTCTCCGGCGAGTTCGCCGATCAGATTCATACACCTCGATCACCACCTCTATCGCCTTTTCTTCTTTTCAATCCCTTCAAAAGGTACCCTAGTTTTGTTTCTTTTGACCAATCAATTGAAAAATTCACATACATATACATCTTCAATTACTGTTATTTACTACTCATGTCACATGTATATGCTGTTAGAATGCCCAAAAAATGGGTTTTCTTGGTCACTCTATTCGATTTCATATGTACATATCTCTCTGATTGTGCATTTTCTTGTTGATTCTTGTTGTGCAAATAGGTGAGTGATTATATTGTTTTATGCAATTTTTTTAGTTTCTGATTATGGGTACTTAAATGTTTGTGGTGTTGATTAGATGGTTTTATTTGTATTTTGATTTTTATTTTATGATAACAGGAAAGTTGAGATATGATGTTTTGTGTTGGTTAAGATTTTGATTCATGCTTTTTGTAAAAACATTTACTCTTAAGAAGTAAGAATTTTGAACACAGTATGTATACTACCTCCGCTTATGTTAATTTTGGTGAGTGTGAAGTGTGAACTTGCTGTTGTAGAAATAGAAAACAGTGTCAAATTAGTTTTGATTTTTGATTGGCGTATCAACAGTTCTTTTCAAATTCTTGTATTAATGAGATGAGTTTTTGATATTATCTACCTTGACTTGAGCATATGTGTGGTACCAGATGATTGTGTTTAGATGTATGATTGGTAGTGACAGACCGGACCGATATAGACAAAAATGAATTTGTGAGAAGTTAGAGATGTTTAGTCATTTGCAGCCCAGACTGATGACCACACTTTAGAGTGACGTTTAATTAGAAGGCACACCAAAAAAAAAAAAAAAAATTAATAAGTAAAAGAAGGGCTAAGGGAAATGTTATATGTGGTTGTGCATAAAAGTGATTTACCATTCTTGGATCTGTCACCTAATCTGTTTTATTACTCATGTCTCAAGAAAAAAGGAGAAATAAAAATCCAGGTGCTTTGATTAATTTCTAGTAACAAACTTGTAGCCCTTACATAATAATATCCCTTAACATACTTGATTTAACAATTGCCTTAAGGCTGAGTGTGAAAGAATTCTAACAGGGACCCCAGTTTTGTGCTTTTGCTTGAATTGACTAGCATATGTTGCTGTGACCGAATTCAAGCTCGGTCATGAATCCATCCAGGTCAATTCGCCATTGTGCCCAGTCTCCTCCTTTATGGGCAAAGTTTTCGTAGTCAAGGTTATATGGGGCATTTATGATGTGCCGGGCAGCAAGGCATCACCCTATTGTAACTTGTGATTGCTCTTCTTTTTTGTGTTTTTTGTAAACTAAATAAATTTGTACAGAGTTAAATAATGAGAACGTTTTGGAATGCTTGGCACTGAAGTTTATGAAAACAGAGTAATTGGCCAGCCTTGAAATGGGTATTACTGATTGGATCAATTTTGATTCCATTTTTTTACACTTTGCCCATAAAGTATTAGGCCTTTATTACTTGATCATTAGCCCAATCACATTAATAAAATACAATAAAAGAAAATTAGAAGAATCAAGTAGCTAGGACCTAAATTATAAAAATTCTACACAACAACTAAACTGGAAAAACCTATTTGTGCAATATTATTTCCAATCTACGTTACAAATGACTCCCTTTTAACGTGCGTTGAAAATTTGTATAATGTGAAATTTTAAAGGAAAAACTACAGGAAAATGAAAAAAGATCAAACAATTACCCAAAAAAAAATAAAAATAAAAGTAGAAAAAGAATGTGAGAATCTAAAATGATTACACCATGCATGAAATTTTAAAAAAAATAATTAAAAAAAAGACCGGTGACAATTACAATTTTGCCACTAGCCATTTTTCCTTTTTTTCTTCTTCCTTATCCTCTACAAATCCTAATTAACAACAACATTCTCCCTATCACTTCTCCCACCATCGCCAACCACTCCCAAAGCCACGTCTGGCCTCCTCGCTTCTCCTCCCCCTTCCTTTTTTTCTCTATTCTCTCTTTTCTAACGTTTCCAATGTTGGCATCCTCCTCTCTTACTATCACCAACTACTCTCCAACTCCTTATGCTTCTCTCTCACTCATTTCTATTTCTCTTCTCTTCTTGTTTCTCATCCTCTACAAGCCTTAATGATGTGTTTGGTTGAGGGATTTGAGGAGAGATTTGGAAAGGGAAATGAAAAAGGTAGGTGAAATGTGAATAAAACATGTTTATATTTCACCTAGTTTCACACATCTTTCCCTTTCCCTTTCAATCCTTCTCAAAATCCTCTAACCAAACACAGCATAACATTTTCAGTGTTAGCATCACCATTCCTACAGCAACTAACTACTTCTCTAGTTTCCTTTCGTTTTTTCTACTTATTTCTCATCATTTCTTAACTTATGTAGCTCATTTTTAGCCCTCCATTTGCCATCCCAACTCCTATGCCCTCATTGCAAACCAAACCTCATTGAAATTATTATAAAAAATCGTGGTCTTACAATCCCATTCTTTTTGTCTCATATAATCTTGAGAGGGTAATTTTTTGGTAAAATTGGGCCGAGCTGTGTGATGGGAATTGTGGCCCAAAAGTGCCAAGGACTGGGTGAAAAAACCGCAAAGTTATTCCGGCCCAGGAGAAGTGTAGTTCCTCCGGCCCAGGAGAGGTATGGTTACTCCGGCTCAAGAATGTGTAAAGCTACTCCGGTCCGGAGGCAACTTGAAGTAAGTCCGACCTCACATTTAGTCCGGTCGTGACATATTATGGTTAGATCGGTCAGAGCTTGCTACTTGAAGCTTGGTCTAAACACACCATGGTTGAACAGGAGAAAGCCGAGATAAGGAGCAGGAGGAGAAAACCGAGCTAAGGATAGTTCGGCCTTCTCTGTGGCTCAGCATAGCCAGCGTTATTTCGGTCATGTGGTAGTTCGGTCATGATGAAAACCATCCCACTTGGTTTAAGCAGTGGGGGGGTGTAAAAGGATAAGCATTATCCTTAGGAGTATGAATCCTAGGAGGACTCTGCATGGAGAAGTACAAAGTCCTACTAGGATTGTGCCATAGGAAACTTATAAAAGCTCACAAACATCACCTTGGAGGAGGTAACAGAACACAACACAATTTTGCTTTCTGAGAACATAGAACTTTGTCTATTTGTCAAGTTTTCTGACTTAGGCATCGGAGAGGTTTTCCGGCACACACACCGCCGGCTAGCTCACGTTTGTGTTTTCAGGTGATAAAGCGACGTCGTACGGAGGAGCGTAGACTTGGTCAACAGGATTATACGATAAGGCGTATTTCTTTCCCGTACAAATCTCACACACGTTTGTTCTCATTATAGTTGTGGTCTTTTCTCTCTTATCTCCTTTACATTTATGGCAACAAGGAAAGGCAACATAAGAGAAAATCTAAGGATAGCTGAGGGTTGGAGGTGGTGATAGTAAAAGGCATTGAGAGTAAAAAATGGGTGGAAGATGGTTGAATAGGCTGATAGAGGAGCTGGAAAGGATGAGGACTGCAAATGTGGAATTGGCTACTGTTAAGAATGAGTGAGAGAGAGATGAAACATAAAAATGATTATAACAAAAATGAAGGGTAAATTACATTGACACCCTGAATTTATGTTTATAAGTTTCTCCTCTCGTATTTGTGAAAATTATACTGACCCCCTTTATCAGTATATTTATTTGACGGTGTTAACTTTTAAGTTAAAATATATTTACCCTTAACCTTTACATATACTTAAAGGGTAAATTACATTGACACCCCTTGATGTTTCAATTTAATACGGATTCCCCTCTGACATTTTAAAAAAAAAAAATAATTTAAATAAAATAAATACGAAGAAATATATTTAATTTGTAAAAAATTATTTCTAACCACTCGAAAGATAAAAATTATATAAAAATGAAAAATATTTTTTTTTATTTCTTAACCAAATTAATTTTTAATTTTTTTAAAAAAAAAATCTAAAAATCAAACCATACATAGCCTAAGAATATTTTGATAAGTCATTTCTTACCGTTGATGCATGTTTGCATTCATTCATCTGTTTTGCATGCACCGGGCTCGGCGCATCATACTAACTGCATTTGTATTTCAATTCCAAAGTTGAATACATGTTAGTTGTAGCATCATCACATGCCATCTTAGAATAGCCGAGCCTATTGTAGTTGCATCTTGTATGTGTTGCATTAGCCATCTTAACATGAGCTAGGATCATGCATTGATTACTAACTAGCTTTTGTTTTGGCTCGGAGTACTAGGTAAGCATTTATGCTTTAGCATACCGCATGCGTGTAAGTGTTGCCATAATAGCATGATTACCATGAGGCTAGCTGCTTATGTGATATAACTGCTTGAGTGCCTGTGGGTGGAGGTCGAATTACCTAAATTGGAATAATGCATTAAAACTATGAGTTTTAAGCCCACCACATAGTGGAAAAAAATCATCTTTTCTAAAGCCCACTCGAGGGTGGCGAAATCTGCATTTTTAGCCTACTTGCGAGTAGCAAACCATTTTCAAAACAAGCATGAAATGTTTTGTTCCAATTTAGGAGATTTGGTCTATACTTGTTTGCTGTGCGCATAACGTAGTAATTCTAGGCTAATAACCAGAATAAGAACACATAACGTTTTCAAAATAGGATATCACGGTTAGTAGAGGCCAATCTTCGGATCGGGCGAGAGGGAGTGCGCACAGCTGACCTTCCCCAATCGTACCCAAGCTCCCGAGCCAAGGCAACTTTGGGACACGTGGCCTTAGGCAAACGAGTCAGAGTTTCCTAAATTTCCCCGAAATAAAATATTTAGGTGGCGACTCTGTATCTGGCAAAGCAGTCCATGTTTGGCACTTCTTTTCTTTCAAAATCTGTTTTTCTCAAAACGATTTGCCGGATTTGGACTCTTTGGTTCAGATTACGAACCGTGACAATTTTAGAGTCCTGAGCTGTAGTGACCCCAAAATGAACAGAACGGGGGACTCGTTCCTCCCGGGGCGTTCGGGGACGTCTACAATATGCGATTCCACCTTTGGCATTTGTTGGAGTAAATCACCACGGGCAATCTATTTTGTTTGGCTGCACTCTGCTT